CTCATTCTCCCACTCTTCTGGCTTATTTCCTCTTGATTTTTTGTTTGCTTTTAGACTTCAGGTAATAGGAAATGGCATTGACCCCTCCTGATCCCCCGATTACCTTTGTGAAGCGTGCACGCGCCACAGAATCACACGTCATGAGGCGGCTCGACGCCATCAGCACGGATCAATCACGCGCTCAGCCGCGCGCAGGAATGCAGCTCGCGGACACGGTCAGAGCCAGCCGCGGCCCGCGCTGATTGACAGCTCTGGTAATTAGGTGATTGTAAAGACCCTTCTGACTGCTAGAACAACGTTGTCAGGGCCGGTCTGTGGCCGGAGCGCACAAATCAATGTGCTTTCCTTGAGCAAGCACTATAGAGCTAGATCAGAAAACCTAACAAAGAGATGCGATGTGGGGATGGGCACTCGTGTGATGCATATGCCATCGTCACTTACTAAAATTTACATTGTCTAGTTCTTGGATGGATTGGTGTTGTTCGTAAACAAAACGAGACAGCTTCGCTGATACGCGCTATACGCGCTATCCCGCTCTCTTGCTTTCGCTCATATTTTAACATTTGATTTGGGTGTTGAATTAAAACTGTAATTGATGTTCCACGGGCCCGTCTGTGTCCTTCTCATAGGCTTATTATTTCCCCTCCTTGTTTGCCTTTGGATTAATACTAGCTGCACTTCAAATTAAACTTGAATGTCACATGTTTTATTACAGTGTAAATTCAAGCACTGTTGAAAGGAAGAGGGGGGATACTGTTAAGATCTAGTAAAAAAAAAAAAAATTGTAATATTGGGATCCTGAAAGCCATAGCTGTAAATGTCACAGCTCACAGGGAGCACCAACCTTCCATACATGGGCTTCTGAAATAATATTTCCTGTTGAATTTTGACTTTCATAACAATTTTGTGTTAGCCTTTTTCCTGTCCGCTCAAATAGAGATGTTAGACATGTTTAGAGAGAGAGAGCGAATTTGTCTTCTGTCAGACCCATGATTCTCTGATTAAAGATGTATTTTTGTGTGTGAGACTGTGTGTTCAATGCTGTCCCTGCTCAAGCGCACTGCCCGTTAAACACTTGCAAATGAAATACACTTTAATACTCAACAGGACCTTTGATTTTTGACAACATAAATTATTTGTAAATATAATTATGTTACCTAGCCTACACGCACAAACTTTTGTCTCAATAAAATATTTCGTTGCATGTTATGTAAATACATTTAACAGCCTTTTTCTGCTTTTAAGTAGCCTATATTTGTTATTTTACAATAAGGTTTTAATTAGTTAACAGTTAATTAACTACTTTAGTTAATATGAACTAAGTATGAACAATAGCTACAACATTTATATTAATAGGTCAATGTTCATTTAATCATTTACCAATACATTATTCAAATCAAAAGTTGTATTTGTTAACTTTAGTTAATGAACTGTGTACTAACATGAACAAACAATGAACGACTGAACTGTATTTATATAATAATATCTTGTTTGCATTCATCGAATAACTCCAAAGATAGGTAAATACAAATTCTGATTATACGTGATTAAATCCATTTCCATAGATCTACAGCAATATTTGTAAACACACATCTGACATTTGTTTTTACATCATGATTCAGATTTTATGGTAGCCCAGGCTTACTTGAAATATGCATGATATATGGGGGAAGTCCGTTGATAATCTTAACTGTAGGTCTTTCATTTAAATAGTGTCATAGGCTTACGGTTGCAAAAGTATCATAGCAATACTCGTGTAGTGAAGCATGGAAAATAGCTCGCGTTCAACAGACAAGTTATCAGTTCGTTTCTGATCATTTAAAGACCAATTTAATCGTGGGATTCATGTGGTTGCTTATTTGTTACCTCACAATTCGGTACTAATTGCATAAACTTCCCTGATATGCATAAAGTTTAATAGGCCCTAGTACGTCTCATAGAAATAATATTGTAATTATAGCATCAACAAACAGTTAAAGTGATGAGAAAAATAGCATTATGCCTTTTAAAGCATCACTAAATAGCTATATACGGGATTTAGCAAAAATAGAGTAAATTTCCTGTTATTTGGCTGGCTGCATGACAGATGTGGAGAGACCTGTCTGCAAACAGCGCGAGGCCTTCAGCAGTCGCTGACAGTTTCCACAAAAAGCCGCGAGGGGAATCAATACAGGGCAAACTACAATTTCACTGTCCGATCATCGACCATCAGCCCCGGCTGACCAGATGATACCCTGACTGGTTGTATTCAATTTGTTCCAGCGGCGCCCTTAAACCTAATAAAGCGATTGATTGAGGCTCAATGAGTTGCAGCAATTAGTGAACTGTTAATGAACATGCTGCTGGAGTCTCATGAGATTGACTGGCGTGTTCAGTCATCGCTTTGATTTTCTTCAACGGAAAGATATACATTGCCAATAGATCGTTTTCACATATCTTAGGGCAAAACACATTTCATTCTCTAACTCAATTAGTTAGTAAATTTGAATTCATTTTTAAAAAGACAGGCTATAGGGCAGCAAATAGCTATCATCTGGCCAAATGATTGTATTATACGTAAAATGTTTTAAAATAACCTTTGGCCATATGTATAGTAGGCCTATCTTTAGATGTGACTGTAAAATCTTAGGCGATTTATGTTGCCTAATTCTGTAAAGAGTAGTCTAGCCTACAACTTTAACTGTAGGCTATCTTAACTAATTGTTCCATTTAACCACGCTTAAACAGGCCTATTCAAGCCACCTATTTATGCATTTAATTGAATTTAGCTGTTGGTAAAACTTGATGTGGTATGTGTATATAGAGTGGCTTTGCCCTGCATTAACCAGCACACTTAAAATGATTATTGACAGGAATTCTTAGATGACTTTGTCGCCGCCTAGTGTTATTACTGAACGTGTGTAAAATCATGTCAGGGGGTGCGTGTTATACAAGAATTTACCAATTAACCACGACTTAACTTCATTATTTCAGTGCAGAATAGAATCCGGACATTCTAAGAATGGCAAGCCAACAAGCCAAGCACACAATTTATATAATTCATACTAACTCGAGCATATGCAGCACCGTAGATCTAGTGTTTAGTTACACAATTTGCAGACACTTACAACCAGAAATTCTATATTATGTATAACAGGTCAGATATTTGGTCGCCTCAAGAAATAACAAAACACGTGAGACGTAAATAACAACATAAAAAAAAAAAAAAAAAAAAAAACTTTTAAAAAAAGACAATCTCCCGTATAATCATGTAAATCAGCATGAATTATTAAACAGTGTGAACATTTCAAGAGTTTGCCAAGTCTATCCCCGGAGAAACAATTGTTATGCGAATAGCTGGTAATTAAAACAATACAACGAACATGCAATCTCTTATATTTTTGATTGTAATATTTAAAATCTGCTTCCTTTCACTAAATCATTTACTACAAAATAAATAGGCAGATAGAATACATAATAAACGTAAATAAAAATTATAAACATGTAAAACCACACAAAACTGTTTTCTAAAAACTATTTATTTTCTTTTTAATGAAGAAAAATAAATAAATTGAAGCGGTGCGTATAGGACAAACCTAAATGATGACTCCCACGTCGATCAGCTAAATAAAAGAGGTTAAACAATCTCGGTTCGATCCGTTACAGGAGGAGGTTGCAAACAGGTTTGGGAGCACAGTGAAGTGATCCACGGAAAACTCGTGCGTAACCCACGTTAGAGAACGCAGCAGCCTGATATAACCAGCTCTGAGTCCGTCTGTTGGCGAAGCCATCACAGCTCCACATACATCGCATCATCATCATCCTCCTCTCAGTACAGCCTAAATCTTCGCACTCAGCGGCATATAAAACATTGTGAACTGTAGTTCCACATTAACAATCAAGAGTCGCGCATTGGACAGTGTTAGGCTGAGATTATTATTTCCCTTACAATATTTAAGGAGGGGTGATGACTTAGCCTATACGCATATATTCGTTAGTTCTTCATTTCTGCTCCCCACTCTGAAAATATTACCATTTAACGCAGTTTGTATTAAAGTTGAATTAGGCTATAAAACCAGAATATGCCCAGGGTTTATTTAGAATAAGAAGGGAAAAAAAGAAAGAAAGATAGGAGCCGGGCGTCTGTCATGTACAATATTCGCCATCATTTCATTCCCTTGAGCTATTTAGAAGCAGTGCTTTCACTCAAAGGCCCTGACACACACAATGACTATCAGCTCAAAACGGGCTTATTTCTCTAGCTCGTTTCACTGTCCCTGTGCTCTTAAAAGAATAAATGACACAATTTTGTTTTGCCAGTAGAGATTACTATGGTGAGGTTTTCTTTTGGAGAAAACATTATACACTGAAAACACATAGGCTATAAATCCAAAGCGGAATAAATACTAAACAAGCCAATAATGCAATTATAAAATTAAGTTCACAATTGAATTAATCCCTTGTTTACTTGTTTTAATTCAGTGGCGTCATAATTTACTTTGCAGTTGATATTACAGTGTAGGCTAATTGATTAGTTGGCATAATTGGGTAATTTTAGTGAACTAAAGTCTACTTTTTGCGTAACTATTTTGTGGAACAGCTAATTTCACGTTACTGCTGTTGTTATTGCTGTATATATATATATATATATATATATATATATATATATATATATATATATATATATATATATATATATATATATATATATATATATATATATATATATATGCAACAATAAGCAATATGTGTATCATGCACACAATGATGTAAAGTGTTACCATAAACATATTTATGTCTATGTCTAATGTCTAAGATGCCGTCTGAGAAACTAGTGGAGGGAAGGTTTCAAAAGAGCATGAGGAATCAATGAGTGGCTCTAACGTGTAATGATGAAGTACAAATCGCTGATTGGACAGGCGCGTGACCATGTAACCAATGAGAGGAGAGATGGGGAACACGAGGAATGTGTTATAATAAAGGAGAAAATATGACGTCAATGTAGGAAGTCATTGTAGAGCAACACTACAACGATTAGTGGCAAAAGGGAGCGTGATGTCGAGGAGTTAGAGCATCCCAATCTCTCCACACCTCAACTTTGAAAGAAAGTTCAATAACCATAACAAAAGGACGTGGACTACACAGATCCACTCGCTTTCCACATTTCACCTTGAATGTAGCAACATCTTGGAGCGCAGGCTATATTTCTCTTTTTCTTTGCTTTAGTGCAAGGATTATTTCATTTGCGCGTAAGAAATGTTTATTTTGTACTTTTTCGGGGCTTTTTTACTGCGTTAACCTTTGAGTTCTGTTCGTTGATTCCGTTTAAGGTTTTTTCTTTCTTCTTCTTCCTTTTAAAACATTGTGCAGGAAAGTTGTTATGAAGACGACTTAGGTGCTCATCCTTTTTCTTGTACTATGGAAGGATCCAGTGGGTCTAGTTTCGGAATAGACACTATTTTGTCCACAACCAATTCTGGCAGCTCAGTACTGATGAACGGAGATTTTCGACTCGGTGACAGTAACAGAACAGCGGATTTCAGGAGTCAGGCGACCCCATCACCATGTTCGGAGATAGACACTGTGGGAACAGCCCCCTCATCCCCGATCTCAGTCACGATGGAGCATCCCGAACCGCATATGGTCCAAGACAGCCTTCAGCATCACCATCACCATCATCATCACAATCAGGCTCAGAGTTTGCAGCTTTCACCCCAGCCTCATCCGCTCGGTCAGGCTGGCTGTGCCCCCAGGACTGCCACCTCCTCCTTTCTAATCAAAGACATTTTGGGCGACAGTAAACCGCTAGCAGCGTGCGCTCCTTACAGCACCAGTGTCCCATCTCCACATCACAGCCCCAAAACAGAGAACGGAACCGCCTCGGACGGCATCAGGCCCAAACTAGAGCTAGATGAAAACAGAAGCAAACTGGACAAAAGAGATGACATGCAGAGTGATTTGAAATGTAACGGTAAGAGTGCGTTTTACATACAGAATAATTAAATAAATTAATAAAAACAGGTACCCCGTTAGATCACGGTATCTGTTTGACATTTATTAATACTTGTTTATATAATTGATTCAATTAGGCTATCAATAACAATGTGAGATTAAGAAAAAGCACCCAAAAATGACATGTACAAATATTATTGTTATTGCCTTGTACTTACTTGTTTAGACAGTAATATTAATATTGCATCGTACAACGACGCAAAAATACATTATTAAAAACAAACAAAACTAATGATGACATTCTAAATACTTATAAAAACTTATCCATGTTTTTTAATATTGAAAATCTGAGCATTTGAGTTTAAATAGTTGTAGTATTCTTCATTGTAAAATCAAAAGCACAAAGAATTATGGAATTCTTCGGTTCGGAACTAATTGGTCGTGTGTACATTAAACAAAGTAATCAAATTAAAACGTAGGCCTATTTTTTGGGGGGGGAAATAGTAAAGATTTCTTAACTGGGATGTAACAATAAATGCTGTGAATCCACCACTGGAATATTACAAGCATTCAGTGGTACAAAATACCTATAATATATTATTTTAATATTATATATTTTAGGCACGTTTTATTAGCCAATTATTATTATTATTAATTTTATTATTATTGTCGTCCACCTTAAAGTCAAATTGTAGGCTTTGTTTATTTGTCTGTATTTTTATGAAGAACCAGTATTACAATACAATATTGGTAGGCTGTCGCTAAGGTTATTCTCTGATATTAGCATAACAGATGTAAAGGCTGGTGAATTTTGCCCGGTGTGGGATCCTCCCTAGTGAGTCAATTAGAGAGATTATTGTTCTTCCTTGAGGGGGGATCACGGAGCCCAGCAAAAACTGCTACAAATAGAGATAGATTGACATATCGATCCTGCTCGTTTTGTTGTAATATTTTCGTCTGCATGCGACGACCTAATTTATCTGTGAAACAAATAAGTATATTTTTGGATAGGCCACCTAGTATTTGACTTTTCTAAAGATCCCGATATGTATAATACCAAGACGAAATAATCGGACCTAAACAGGTTTAGATTTGCGAATAAGATCGAGGCCTTTAGCAACCATAAGTTACCAAAATAAACCTTTTATTTAAACAGTAATTACTAAATTCTTAGACTGTGTTCTCATTTTGAGTAAACTCACTTAATGAACAAATAAATTAACCCTTCTACATTTTTTTTTTTACTACATTTTCATTAACTTTCATTGCAATTACTTCTTTAGGAACAAAAGAAGAGGGCGATCGGGAAATTTCTAGTTCCAGAGACAGTCCGCCCTCCCGCTCTAAAAAACCTCGCAAAGCGCGGACGGCCTTCTCCGACCATCAACTTAACCAGCTGGAGCGCAGTTTCGAGAGACAGAAATACCTCAGTGTACAGGACCGAATGGACCTGGCAGCAGCCCTAAACCTCACAGACACACAAGTCAAGACGTGGTATCAAAACCGACGGTAAGTCTCCACATATCATTCATGAAATATAATAAAAAAAATAATAATAACAACAGCAACAACATATTTTGTACAATATATCAAGTAGGCTATTTTGATTGTGCAAGCATTTTTAGCATATTTTTGTACCTACTTATGGATCTATATTTCCAGTTGCCAAAATTCGAGATTATATTAGTTGGCTATTAGGCCTATTTATTAGTTGGCTATTAGGCCTATTTATTATAGTTATTTAAGTTTATTATTATTATTATTATTGTTATTAACCTATGTTTTAAATAAACGAACGGCGCAACAATTAGCCTAGATCAAATAATTTGAACACGCTTGTCTGAAAATGTGTTTTTTGGTCATATTAAATTATTTTAAATCATTCGATTGCAATTAGCAAGGCCCCAAATATAAATATTTTTAGATTCTTCACTCCTGAATAATTTTACATTTTTTAAACAATTAAACATTTTTTTATTACATTTATTATAGCAATAATTAATATTTTTATTATTTGTTAGTAATTCTGTAGAGTCTGAATTTGGCTAAATATAATTGGAATAATGACGGGAAAAAATAAACTGTTTATCACAATCAAATAGCCTGTTTATAGTTTTTTATTATACATTCTGATGTAGGTTATTTTACAAACAATTTGCTGCCCATTTCATTCGTATTTAAATGAAGTGTACCTTTTTTTGTGCCAGAATCAAACATGCACGCCTCGAATAATCTTGTTCATAAGGAGCCATATGTGGAGAGTTTAATAATTGATTTCTTGTATTTTGATCTCATTGCAGGACGAAATGGAAGAGGCAGACGGCTGTCGGATTAGAACTGCTGGCTGAAGCTGGAAATTATTCGGCCTTACAGAGAATGTTCCCATCCCCGTATTTCTACCACCCGAGTTTATTAGGCACCGTGGACAGCACGACAGCGGCCGCAGCCGCCGCTGCCATGTACAGCAGTATGTACCGGACTCCGTCCACACCGCATCCATCTCTCCAGAGACCGCTAGTCCCCAGAGTGCTCATTCACGGCCTGGGGCCCGGGGGACAACCGGCACTAAACCCAATACCGGGTACGCAGCATCCTCGGTAAAACGAAAAGACACTGAGAGACAAATGTATCACAAGTGATGTGACAGACTGCGCTGAACTTTCACAAGACGCTTTTTTTTTCATCAAGAAAACAATGAGAGACGATTTTATCGAAGAAAAAGATGTATTATTTAATATGGACCATTTCTGACTTATAGGCCAAACTAAACCAGACGAGCCTGTGACCGTGACAGTAAAATGACTGTTCATTGTCAGATTGTTTGTTTTGTCTTTTTTTGGTACAAAAACACATACTGGTACGCTTATAAAGTTTATTAGATTTAAAGAAAGGGTGAAATAAAGACAAAATGTTAATAAAAAAAAGTCAGACGCTTTCTCTTGAAAGTGGACGTATGTTTATCACTTTTCATGTGATCCGTTTAGGAGCTTTCCTTAAAAATAAGTTTAAATAATAATTCCCGTAATTGCATCATGCTAAATAATTTAAGCATCGACCTGGATTTTTAGAGAAGAAAAAAGAGAAATATTTTAGAAATTTAGAAATATTAAATGTCTAACACTTTGAATTATTCTTGGAACTTGTATGTACAACATATACAACATTAGTTTTAGAGGAATCACCAGAACTGTATTCATAAACTGTGTAGCACACGATTTAGGGCACAGCATAAGTTCTTTGTAAACTCTATGAGCCCGTCTGAACTCATTAGCATAGGCGTGCATTCAAGTAAGGCTCGGGACCGGTCTGCTATATGAGAATAGATGGTTTGGTGCATTTACTCTGGGAATGGCGAAGCTGCTCCCGGTCTGGCAGCTGTTCTGTGGGAGAACCGCCGCGGACAGACAGCAGGCGCGAACCTTCTCAGCGTGAGTGAATTAAAAGAAACATTTCATATAAACAATTAGAGACCTTTGTAGATCTCTCCCGAGATTAATATTCACTATTTGTCATTCGTTTAAACCAGAAACACTTACGATAATGCTGTGAAGAACACAACCAAACATAAATCCAACTTTATTTATTTAGGGAAAATAACCATTTAAACGTAGCCTACATATTTATTTATTTTTTGTTCCCCCAGTCAAATCAGTATTTAATTTCCAGTTCGTTATATTTGTATATTGAATAGCATAATTCTAACACTAAGCTGGATTTAAAAAAAGGTCTTAGCGAGTGGATGTGTATAAAAGTGGTAGTATAAAATGAACAAAAGGAATTTTAAATAAGAGACGCAGTAAAAATCGAAATGAGAAACATATAGCCAAAGATTACACAATGCATAATACATGACCGCAATACTTTATATTTCTTGGTCAAAAATGGCTTACACTATGATTTACACTAAATGTGAGAGGCGTAACTATAGGCGTAATAAACGAGACGTAACTATAAGTAATCACGTGGGTTTTCTTATGGGAATGTAATTAAGTGAACATTACAATGCTTTTCTTTTTGAGCTTGATAACGTCCCCTGGAGGACTGACGAGACTGCAGGATAGAATAGCCTCGGGGCGCGTTTGTTTGGGCTCCTCTAATTGGAGAAAAGGTTGCTGATTTCTGCGCTACTAAATTCTTATTAAAGCCAAGTTGACCTCTGCTATATGTAGTTTGAAACAATATGACATTGGCACCCTGCATGATGTCTTACATTTTCTCCATAATAATAAAAGAGACAATTAAAAAAGTCAGGTCTACTACAAAATGTTATACAATTATATGCAAACAAAGCGAAATTTAATAGTGTAAAATAGCCAAAAATTAAAAACACCACACACACACACACACACACACACACACACACACACACACACACACACACACACACACACACACACACACACACACACACACACACACACACACACTCACACACACACACACACACACACACACACACACACAAATAAAAGAAATAGAAATTTGGAACCTAAAATAAAAGCAAACTTCTGTAAAGAGAAATTCTGTAAAGTCAAAACTGTGAAGCCTTCGGGTATCGACAACTAACAAAGATAGTAGGTAGCCTATAGATGTCGAGTTGGATTTATGTAGTGTTGGATTCTTTAGTATTTGGTGGGCACGCAAAACATATGCAGTCAGTTGTGAATTTAATCTTGCACACTCAATTGCAGAGCTAGTTGCAACCATTTCTAGACAACTATTATTTTTAAAAGCTTGTGTTCAGCTGGAATGCTGTACCCGGCTTGCACGCACTTTAGCCAAATAATTTAATTTAATATGGGCCAATACTAATACAGGCTGCGCTTTGATGCTCTACTTGCGTCATATGAATTGCTTAGAATGAGTTATATAATTACATATTTTTATTCGTTTTTCGATAATTTGATACATTTAAAACGCATCAAAGAATATTATCAAGAGTTTGTATGTAGCGACTAACGAAAAATGTGCCATGCTGATTTATCCCGTTAAAAAAAATACAGCCATGCGTAATCTAACGCGTGAATGGTTTACACTTACTGGACAGTAAATTATTTCCAATGCTTTATTAATACAAATTAGTTAAATGGGACAATGTGTTATGTTAAATGTGTACGTTCAACACACGGTTTTGCAATTACGATAAAGTGGCATTTTCAAACGCTTCTCTTTTTTAAAAAGCTAATCGAAAGTGGAGCTATACATGTTTAGATTAAATGATAAAACACGGGGTATAAGCTATGAGATTTTTTTTATTTTTTTTTATTTAGCATTTGTTTGGCAGGTAAAAAATATTAGGTTGGCATATGTTGTTTCACTTTTCTATGCGCCACCCGCAACTTGACTGTGGAGACCATTAGCCTGAAAGTATAATATCAATTTAATTCATAGAAGTGATGCTTGATAGCAGAATCCCCAAAACATTGTGGGTCAGTAAATGCTCAATTTGCTGTGACCTTCTGACCAGGATCTGTTCGTTTTATTTAACCTTTGGTTAAAATTGACTTCCAAATACCGGAAATATGGGAAGCCAGGCCCTGGTAACAAGCTAGGTGAGAGGAGGGGTGTTGAAATTAAAAGAGGATGTTCAGACCTTTCATTTACATGACACCCATTATACGGAACAGATTGCTGCAAGGAATTGGTTGGTTCTTGTTGCTTCCAGGAGCCCAAGTAAGGTTTTGTAATTGCCACATTTTCCAGCTGATGTCATGTTAGGGATGTCTTACTTATTATCCTAATGAGGGAAACGCAGCAGCTCTCGGAGGCCCGCTCATTACCGCATTACACTCGCACTTTTTTTAACGTACCATCTTTCATACTCAAACGGCAGGGACACATCCAGATGAACTTCTCGAAGATGGCCACGTTGCAAGGTCACTCACTGAATCGTTAAAAGGCGACAATCAGTCGTGTGGGATTTAAATGACGCACTCAAGGCCCGAGTCATCGCAGTGCCTCGCAAAACAGCACGGAAGCGCCACATTAAGCATCTGGGTGTCCCTTAATTACCATGGGTTGGATTCTTAATCTTGCCCTGTGGTGATGGCGAGGTGTCAGGATGATGAATTTTAAGATGGTAGGTTGTCAACGTGTGCAATTTCAAAGCTGACTGAATTGGAGGAACGGTTGTAACAAGGTTAGAATCGTTTAAAGTGTGAAAGCGGATTTCTGCCAGGAGGCAGAAATGGTTGACAGACATCGTGGTATACCTCTGCATTAATAGTAAGTTTTAGAAAATTTCAGGGAAGGTGTGAAAAAGACTAATACCTTGAAAAAGGCTTTCAGGAGCCTGCTGATTAAGAATAGCGATCTGTTCCTAAACACTCAAATTATTCATCAACACTCAAAAATGTTTTTATCAAATGCTTTTACCCACTGCTAATATTCATGGCCACATTGCTTTTAATAGATTCACAAGCAGAAAATCTGACAGCTATCTGGCAGTATTAAATAAAATAGGAACGCAGTGCTATACAAGACAAAACTGTTGATTAAACTGATTTGAAACGTTTTTTTCCTGCACATACATTCACAGTTTTTTCCCCCTATTTCCTATTCTAAACAAATAATTGCAATCAAACTGCCAACAAATATGAAATGACAACCATTTTGTGTAAAAAAAATCTACATTACAATATATGTGCCTCAGCTAATTCATTGTTTACTTGATAATACTCATTATTCAGAGTTGATGGCTGCAAGAATGTGTTAAAATCATGGCACCAAATATCTTTCTCACCAGTTATCAGTTCAATCATTAGAGCAAACGTCTATTTGGGTATTATTCACAGATGATGCATGTGTAAAACTGCCATAAAAGAATGCAACTGTCAAGCCTGAGAGATAAAGACAAATAAAAATAATTTCACAAATAAGCTCAGAACAAAATGTTTTACTGTAGGTCGCCTAAATGGCCAATGTCTTGATCTTGATTCCCAGAGAACACTATTAAAATGTATAGTATCACATTGGATAAAAATGTCTGCCAAATGCATAAAAATCTAAAATGGGATGTACAAGACATTTTTAGGAATATGGAATGCTTGCCATACAGTGTGCCATGGTTCTGGAAGCAACATTTTATTTGTATTTTCCCCCGACAGAAATGAACTGGAAATTGTAATAAGTTCCAATGCCAAAATTGAGAGCATGTCCATTATTTCCATAGCCTTTCATTTAAAAGCAAATTTTTTTTTTTTTTTTTTGACATTACAACAAGTGAAATGGCTATTTTTACTGCAAGTATACTAGTGGACTTCCATATCCAAGACTATGCGCGGCTTAAGGCGTAAGTGAACTCTTATTTCTGTAGATCCCACTTCACTCAGTCCTGCCAGGTATTTAAGGAGAAAACTTATTACAAGTGTTCTGAGCCATCATTTCATCAGCCTTTTCCTGTCTAAGCTGGAACAGTCATCTTCCTGCTCCTGTCGTGGCATTAACGCTCATCCATGACACTTCTGCTGAATGATGCATTAGCTGAGTGCTATCATGGTTTAAACGCTCTCATCATTTCAGCAAAACCAGCCTTTTCCCCTCTCCTTTTTTTGCTCAAGTGACGGGACAGCTGATGGCGAAGTTCTGCTAGCTTTCAAGTTTCAAAACCAGCCACCGTCATTGTACGTGTGGCCACATGAAGGAGCACAAGAAAGGAAGGGGAACAATTCTGTCAGCAGCAATGTCAAAAGCTTCAATTCTTACAGAGCAATTAGGGGTTTCATCATCTCCGAGAGGTGTCAGCATTCATTACGGCTCAACAACAGCTAATTGCTTCAAGGTTAAAATTACAGATCTGACAGCATTATTTTAAGT